ATATATATATATATATATTTTTTTTTTTTAATTATGTTGGCCCAATATCAATATCAAATCCACGTTTTTTTTATATTAAATTTTTTTTCCTTAAATGAACTGTTACAGGGATGATCTATATATATATAGATAGATTTTGGGTGTTTCGATGAAGAAAACACACCACCTTGTCATCAATATAGTATCTCTTTAGTTATTAGCTGTCGCAGGTAAGGGTGAACCTCATACATTCTTAACAAAAACATTCACACTTTGAATTATTTTTGTTCTTCCACCTTCCATGGAGGACAGTGGCAAAATGATAAATGGGAACAACAGCCCATGTAGTAACAAGGTTGTCGGTTTTCCGACCGAGGGAGGCAACAAAAGCACCATTGGCCACCACATCGCACGGCGTCTGGTTGAGATTGGTGTGAAGGATGTTTTCACTGTCCCTGGAGACTTCAACCTTGGTCTTCTGGATTATTTGGTAGCTGAAGCTGATATTAACCTGATAGGTTGCTGCAACGAGCTAAACGCTGGATATGCTGCCGATGGGTACGCGAGATGCAAAGGCGTGAGTGCATGTGTGGTTACTTTCAATGTGGGTGGGCTTAGCATCCTTAACGCCATTGCCGGAGCTTACAGCGAGGATCTTCCAGTGATATGCATTGTTGGAGCTCCAAATTCCAACGACAATGGCAGCCAAAGGATTATTCACCACTCCATTGGCATCCCAGATTTCAGTCAAGAGCTACGTTGCTTTCAGCCTGTGACTTGTCACCAGGTATACTCCTTGTCCTGTGTGATGATACCTAGAAGATGGTAGTAAAAATAGAAAAACAAAGAAAGAATTTTTAAAAACATTTTGGTGATTAGAAAAAAGAGAGTAATTTTTTGTATTTTAATAAAAGGACAAAAATTGTGTGTAAAAATTAGTTGGTGTGAAAACAATAATAATAACTAAAAATAAAATGTTACATATAAGAATAAATTAATATATTAACAATTAATATTTATGAAATAAAAAATGAAAAATCAACACTTAATATGTAGCGTAGAGAAACTATAAAATTAATAAGTTTTATCAAATGTACTATGTTAAAAAAGAGAGATTAAAAAAATATGTAATAAAAGTTCATAAAATCAATCATGTATGCATATTATTATTCATAAAAAATATTTATTCATAAATTTGATAATGCATTTGTTTCGCGAAAATAAGAGTAAAATACACAAACTTATTTATTGCTTTAAAATTTTCTTTTAGTAATATCATTTACCACTTACAAAATTTTTATGAACAGTAATATATGTACACCTTCATTTTATCTACCTTATTACATATTTATTTTTTTTTCTATTTCTCTCTTCTTATCGCATCAAATCTATTTATATTTTTCTCTAAGTGTATATAAATGTTAATGCACATTTTTAGTATTCATGAATTATTTTTCTATTTTTATTTAGGTGATAATATACAAACACTACCTTTTTTACCCTAAGTTTATTTATTCAACAGCAACAACAAAAGAATATTTAAAAAAAAATGAAACAAATTGAGATAAATAAAGTAGAAAAACTAAAATATTAATATTTTATTAAGTGTTAGATAGGTTTAGGAAGATTGAAGGGTGTATGTATATAATTTTTCTCTTT